ATATTTGTTTCATTTATATGTCAATTCAATCAACACTTTTTTCTTAAACTCAATTGTAAACTTTCTTCTCTCTGTGGGTTTGACATCCGAAATTTCAAAAGGATTTCCATTTTATTACTTTTTAACGATACATATATTTGTGTGACTGTTATATCATATTTTAAAGCATCAAGTTTCATTGATGAAGAGATGCATAGACTAGAAGTGAGCATCCAAATAGAGTCACATTCAAGCATGTAAGGTGTACATTCTATTCAAGGCAGCCTAATAGTCTTGTCCACACTCTAAGAGAAATGAATGTAATCATTCATGAATCCACAATCAAGAATAAAGCATGACTGTCGTATAAGAACAATGAGGATGAATTCTCTTTAATTCAAGTATATTCATCAGTATGTACATTCATCTGAGATGTGTGGAGCCAAGTGCATGTAAGATAGCCGAACCATTACGTTCACATGGGAGCCAAATTCATGCAAGGAAGCGGAACCATCTTGCTTACACCAAAGGGGAACGAATTTAGCCAAGAAGATTCAATTAATTTAAAAGATAAGCATGCATTCATCCAATGCATTATCCTTGCTCACATTAGGCATGCATTTTATCTACTTGAGGGATGAATATTCATCCATGAATGTTCACTTATTAAGGCCTTTTAGTTCATACCATGTGTGCATTGTATCATTGGCAATCTTAAGGCTTATAAATAGCTAAGCCTTTCACCAACAGATGTTGGTTCAACTGATAAGCAACTTGATATCGCTTAAGCAAGTTCTCAAGTTCGAGTCCTTGTGTATACAGAAAATCCATGCTAGGAGACTCACGCACCAAAGCTAGGTGCGCGATGCGGGTCGGTCCAGATTAGTCAAGGCAGAGCCTTTGAATCAGGAGGGCAACAAAAAAAATAGCTAAGCCTTTCATTTGTAAACCATCCATTCTTTGTTATCCCGTCACCACGCCAACTCCATCATCAAAACAACCCACTCTTCCATTGTTATATTTCCTTCTTTATTTAGATTTCTAGCCCACCCTTTTACCATTACATCTACACACCTAACCTTTCTATTTGTAGCCATTCACTTGCTGCAAGTTTCTTGCTTTCCTTCCTAGATCTACAATCGAATTCTCATCATCCTTCATCAACAAGGCATGCCCCAACCAACCTACATCATATTCAGGGTAGGCACGTATCCACCCTGATTAAAATTTTTCAAATAATTACTTAATTTAATGGTTGTGTGCCCACCATGAAATTTTATATATGTGCCCACCCCGTATAAAATTTTTATGTAATTAATATATATGTGTGCCCATCCTGAAAAATATTTCTCTAGATTTGTCACTGGTGATCATAGTGAAAATGAATTAAAAGTTCAATGGATGTATTGTAAGTTTTAAAAATTTATCTACCACAATACAAATATCATAAAAGTTTAAGGACAATTTAGATAGTTTACCCATTCTTTATTAGTGATTATACTGATCAAATTTCAAAATTTAATAGTAACACATTGTACATGAACGATATACTAAAACACATGGACTAAAAATGAATAAGTTTAAGAAAAAAATAAATTCACAAGTTATGCATATTATAGAGATGAATAGAAAACTTTGAACTATCGGACTTGAGGCTACCGATCGAGTTACGAATAAAATTTCAAATTTTCAAAAGATTGTCAAACCATGTATAGAGAGGATAGGCATGGGTTGGGTTGGGTCGGGTCGGGTTTCGGTCAACCCGACCCAACTCAAAAATTATACATTCGAATCTGACTTAAAAAAATACATCCTTCACTCGACTCATTTTTTTGAGATAAAATCTGAACCGGGTTGTGTAAGATATTTTTATCCTAAATCCAAATCAAACCTAAATGTTTTTAAAAATATGATCCAATAAAGTCAGATCGGATCGGAAACCGTCATGGTCGCATTTTTTAGTTTAAGTGAAAAAATAGTTATAGTATAAAAGCAACACTTCTCCCTAAAACTTACCCGCTCCGTTTGGTTCACGGTATAATTCATTCCTGGGAGGAATTTTTTTCCCGAATGAATATACCCACGTTTGGATGGGGGGCATATTACCAAGTGTCAGGAATGAATTCATACCAACAGTGTTTTGTTTTACTGCTTTCCCGGTAATATCTATCCCCCATCTCCCTTAGGTATTTCATATTTCTCGTCCCCGTTGTCTAAAATAGCCTTTTCACCCACTTCGTTCTGGCTATCGGGATTCTCTAAAATTCGTCGTGCGTGATTTCCGTCCTCCTTCCGTCGCCGCTCCCCCTGCTTTGATCGGTAGTATCCCACGTTTGGATGGGGCATATTACCAAGTGTCAGGAATGAATTCATACCAACAGTGTTTTGTTTTACTGCTTTCCCGGTAATATCTATCCCCCATCTCCCTTAGGTATTTCATATTTCTCGTCCCCGTTGTCTAAAATAGCCTTTTCACCCACTCGTTCTGGCTATCGGGATTCTCTAAAATTCGTCGTGCGTGATTTCGTCCTCCTTCCGTCGCCGCTCCCCCTGCTTTGATCGGTAGTATTTTGGTGTTAAAAGATTCGCCTTTAAACTTTTCTTGAGCTGCCGTAGCTGAGATTCGACACTCTATAACAGAGGTATTCATGTTGATTCATTCATCTTATTAACCCTTCATAGCTAGATTCAGTGCCTATATTTTATTAACAATCTATTTATCTTTCATTGGTGTTGCTCTATAGTTAATGAATCAATTGGTCTTCCTTGATTCTAGTTTGTGTTTACGTTTTTTAGGGCGTCCTTATTTAGGGACTATCAGATATTATGAGGAATTTGATTTCTGATTTGTTCTATTTTTTTATATGATTTTTGGGTAGAAATGGGTGAGGAAGATAAGGCTTTGGTTCCGGAGTCACCCTTGAAGAAGGGAAAGAAGAATGAAGAATGGGAGCTTGCAAAAAAATAGGGGCTTGAAGCTTCAAAGAAGAAGAAAGCTGAGAATCGGAAGCTGATTTTCAATAGGGCTAAGCAATATGCAAAGGAGTACGAGGCTCATGTAAGAATTGTGATGTTCTGTTTCTGATTTATGGATGGATATTGTTTTCATCGTATCATAGAAGTGTCTGAATCATATTGTGTGTTGTCGGTAATGTGTTAGGAAAAAGAGTTGATTCAATTGAAGATGGAGGCAAAGTTGAAAGGAGGATTCTATGTTGATCTAGAAGCTAAGCTTTTGTTTATTATTCGAATCTGTGGGTATGTGTTTATTGTGATGATTTATCGGTTTATGAGTCTAAATTATAATATGTAATGTTGTATAAATGTTTGTTTTCAGTATCAATGCCATGCACCCTAGGACAAGAAAGATCTTGCAACTCTTACGTTTGAGACAGGTACTTACTGAATCTATGAAGAAATATGGTTTGTGAGAATCAAATTCTCATTTTCCCACGTGTCTTTTATTTGATTGAAATAACCTCAATCTTTTTATATTTTTGGTATAGTTTTATGGTGTATTGCTTTCCAACACTGTAGGGTGATGGTTGTTTTTAATGAATTTGGAAAATCTGAGTCTAAATTGTTGTGTTTGTTCTTATCAAATACATATTTTCAATGGTGTTTTCCTTAAAGTGAACAAAGTAACAATGAACATGCTTCACCTCGTTAAACCTTATGTGACTTACGAGTATCTTTTACCTTATTTGCATCCTCTCTTTCCATTTTATTAATTTTATATGCTTGCCCTATCTTATTTCTAAATGATGGCATGGTTCTAGATACTCGAACCTCAAGAGTGTTAGGGAATTAATTTACAAAAGAGGTTATGGGAAGTTGAACAAGCAGCGAATTGCATTGACTAATAATGAAGTCATTGAGCAGGTCAGTATCATTTTTGCTTTCAGGAATTTTATGTCATTAGGACTTGGATGCAAGTAGTAGGAGAGTTTATGTTTGAACATATCTTCTGTCCTTGCATCCATGTTCGAATGCATAAAAAACGAGTAAGAGACAAAATGACACGGTCAATTACTAAACAAGCTTTTGTATTGTATTGGTCATCAGGCTCTGAACAAATTTGGCATCATCTGTGTAGAATATCTCATCTACGAGATAATGATCGTGGGATCTCATTTTAAGGAGGCCAACAACTTCCTCTGGCCATTCCAACTCAAGGCACCTTGGGTGGTCTAAAGAAGAAGAGGAACCACTATGTCAAATGAGGAGATACCGGCAACCGTGAGAATTACATCAATGAGTTAATTAGGAGAATGAATTAAAATATAATTTGGGTCAAGGCTAGTTGTTTTTGTCTATTTGGAAGGTGTATGATCGTAATTTCTGTGGGAAATTAGAAACAATTTTGTTTAAGAAAAACATGGATATTGATTTGTGTTGCCATTGTTCTACTTTGAGATTGAGCTTTCTCGATGTCCTTTGCTTCTAGTTTTACTATTAATACTTAATATATAGTATTTAATTTGCTATTTGAATTTTGAAGAATTTTTTTATAAATAAACGTTATAAATATTAAAATTATCCAAAAGGATAAAAAAGTAAAAATTAGTTAAGATTTAAACAAAAGTTTACATCTAATGTTTTTATATAAATTATGTTGAAGAAAAATTTTAATATATTTTTTAAATAAATTATGTAAAATTTAATATTAATTAAAATTAAAATAATACATAATATATTTAAATAATAAAATAATATATTATCGATGAATTTTTATATAAATAATTTTTATTTAAATATATTATCGATGAATTTTTATATAAATAATTTTTATTTAAATAATTAGAATTTCATTTGTTAAAAAATATAGAACAAGGTCAATTTGGTAAAATATACAATTTAGTAATCTTGTATTCTTTCAACCAAACAATGTATCTTACATTACTGCCAAATAAACCAAACACAATAATGTAACATTCCCAGTGATGTGTTAGGTAATGTTACATTCCGGTAATCCTATTCCCACTAATAATCTTATATTCCATGAACCAAACGCACCCTTATTTCACATGCCGAAACCCTAGAACTTGGTTAGAAGAAGCATAGAACCTCGAAAAATCACTTGACTGCAACCCTTTAACTATGGTCCGACATTCATTTCATCTTTATTTTTGCTTCCGAGTTATTAAAATTTAATCTTTCTTCACAAATTTGATCATTTTGATTGGATCTTTATTGTTTTGCAGACATTCAAGCGTAGGAATGGTGGCCGCAACAAACATGGCCGTGGCCATGTCAAGTTCATCCGCTGCTCTAACTGTGGCAAATGTTGCCCTAAGGTATCTCACAGTTTTTCTTACCTGGGTCTTTGGGGAGGGTTTTTATTATTATTAATTATATATGTTGTTTTCTCATTTTTTTTTCTTTGTTTCGAATGAGTAAAGGACAAGTCAATCAAGAGGTTTCTTGTGAGGAACATTGTGGAGCAAGCTGCTGTCAGGGATGTCCAGGAAGCCTGCGTCTATGATTGTAACTTTTCGTATAATTACCCAATTATAAGCTAAATTCCTCATTTTTTTTACTTATTTTTGGATTTATTGTTTTGCTAATGTTATCTAGCGTACACTTTGCCCAAGCTGTATGTGAAGATGCAATACTGTGTTTCATGTGCGATCCATTCCCACGTCGTGAGGGTCCGGTCCCGAACTGACAGGAGGAACCGTGAGCCACCTCAGCGCTTCATCAGACGCAGGGTACTTTTTTAATCCATTATTTCATGCTTTTCACTGTCAATTATCTATTTTGTTATTTGAATGAAACGTTGTTCTTCTTGCCTTGCTTGGATTGTTTATCATTAGTGTAGGGCCATAGTTTTTAAAAGCGCGCCTAGGTGCGCTTAAGGCGCCAGGCGCAGGTGGGCACCAAGCAAAACGCCTTTGGAGAGATAGGCGCAACGCAATACGGGAAGGCGGAAGCCCTCCCAAGCGCACGCTTCAGGGGTTTTTTTGCCCAGGCACAAGGCGCGCGCTTCTGCTGCCTTGAGGATAAGGGATAAGATTACCTGCTCAGCTGCTCTCTTGCCTCTTCCACCGCTTGTCTCTTCCACCAAAAACACACTACCTACACTGCTTTTGATCAAAACAATGACTCTTTTGATCATAATTTTCTCTCTGCTTTGATGCAAGGAAAAGAACAGCCACCATGTTTTGTTCTATCATTTTCTTTAACTTATCAATTTTTTATGCTCTCTTTTCTTTATGTTTTATATCATACACAGCATTTATTTTAAGTCCTAGGCATCTGAACAGTTATTAGGAGTAGTGCCCAGCTAGCACTCTTTATTTTCTTTAATTAGTCATAATGGCCATTTCAATTTTCAAAAAGAAGACTGCATGTTCTGGACATAATCGTTGTTAGGAGTGGTGCCCTGCCCTGCTAATAGCCTAGCACTCTTATTTTCTTTCTATTAATCATAATGAGAGTTTCAATTTTCAAAACAAATTCACTGCATTTATCCTAGGCATAGCCATTGTTAGGAGTAGTGCCGAGCTGGCACTTTTTATTTTCTTTTATTAATTATAATGACAGTTTCAAAAATATAGTAAAAGATTAAATCAAATAATGTTAATTTAATAAATTTTTTTGAATATAAAAGTTGAATTTTGATAATAGTTGCAGTAAAGATTAAATGTTTTAGGAATGAATTAGTGGATGTGTGTGAATATACTCTAAAATTAATTTATATATTTTTTACTATAAAAAGTGTGCTTCTCCTACGAAAGGCGCGTCCCTTCTTCTTGTGCCTCGCGCCTCTTGCCTAGGCACTTAAATGGAATTTGAGCCATTAAACTACTTCATGGATTTTGTAACCTATGAAGTATATAGGTTGATGAAAGTGTCTTTTCGAAATTGTTCAGTGACTGCTAGACTGTCCCCCTGGGCAGAAGTTTTCAATGCTTTAGGGAATATCTAATAGCCTTCTGATCACTTTGTCCAATGCCTTTTCTGGTGGCTTATGATCATTCTGGAATGGAAAATGTGATGAATCTAATATATGATTTATCGAAGTCATCCATAGGACTGGTAGAACATTGACTTTGCTGGTTTTTATCTGTGTATATCATTTGAATGATTCTCTCTGATATGCTATGAGGATGTAATTCTTTAGGGACTTATGTCTGCCCCTTTTGCAGAAGTGCTTTAGGGATGAGGAAGTTCCTTATACAAAATATCCATCTAAATCAATTTTTCAGTGGCCTTTTAAGTGGTTATTGATCATACCGAATGGAAAATGCCTTAGAAATAATATTACATGGAGATCGTCCATAGAGCAAAAGGGATGGTAGAATTTAGTCACATCTGAAACATAGTGATCCTGATCCATGTGCATCATTATAGTGCTGCTTTGTCTTTATCAAGGGACTAGTTGGCTCCGTTTGCTGAAATTTTAATTGCTTTTGGGAATCATTGTTCATTAACATCCATTTAAATCATTTTTTTGGTTACCACTTTTAGTGGCATGCTGATCATCTTAAGAGGTTTAAGGCCTCCAAGATGTTTGACGGCATTTATCTGTTGGTGTTGGGTTTTTAGTGTTGCTGAAGTTTTATTTTTTATTCTCCCAATAATAAAGGGAATAGTGGCATTCGCTATGAAAAATATAATTACATAGTACACTATGTATAGTTGGTAGTCTAATTGCCTCATTGTCGGAATGTCTGGAATTGCCTTTTTCTCTTTTAGAAACTACTACATTAATTGTATTTGTTATTTCAGGATGATAAGCCAAAGCCTGGCCAGGCTCCTCGTCCTGGAGTTGGCGTTTTTTCCGAAAAGTTATCGGTGACGTGTATATTTATCGATCTAACACCGGTCAGATTATATTTCTCGATCTAACATTCGTAGCAGTAAAGTGCGCTTCTCTGTCCCGCGCTATTTGTTGATTTGGCGTCACGTGAGGTATAGTGCGCCCCCTGTACCGCGCTATATGCTGACATGGCTTACACGTGGGTATAGCGCGCCCTCTGATCCGCGCTATACGCCACGTAGGGGTATAGTGCTGCCCCTACTCAGTGCTATACCTGGGTATGGTCCGCGCTATACCTTTTATCTGAATAATTACATATAGCGCGGTGTAAGTACCGCGTCTTATATGGTTATAAATACCCTTCCCTCCTTGTTAAGTTTCTCACATCTCCTCACATCTCTCCTCTCAACTTATAAATTAATACAACAATTCCTCAACAAGTAATAATTCTAGTAATTTTCTCATATTTGATTTAGAAGTTCGTTCGATTTTCGTTATAAATTTTGTTATAAATTTTTTTATTATACTTATTGTTTATTATGATTATTTGAAAAATATTATACTAATTATTTTTAATTAATTTTTTTGTTTGTAAAATAAAAAAGCAGGAGTATACGTCAAAATAGTTTTGCGGTACAGGTAATAATATAAAATTATATTATTTAAATTATTTACGTTGATGTGTAAAAAATTATTGTGTTAAATTTCGTTCATATAATTTATTTAAACAGGTTTGTTTCAGTTATTTTTTTTTTCAGATATAATATTACTGCACTTTTAAACTCAAATAATGGCGCGACTTTCAGCTATTGTTTATTATGATGGTGAAATTTGAGAAGATGAAACTGGCGTTATTTTCGTATCAAATGAGCGTGTTAAAATATCATTCAAGAGAAACATAACTCTTGAGGAGCTAATAACGAAGATTTCGAGGAAATTCATGTTGGAAGTAGTAGAAGAATGTCGTCGTTCAAGTACAGATTTCCAACATCATTGTTGCCATTAACTTATACAGTGTTCGAACTTTCGAACAATGATGGTTGAAGCTCAAAGTAATTATTCAGACACCGCTATTGAGATGTATGCACATTTTGTTCAAGTGTATGCTGTTCGGGGTCAATCATTAAGCTCCCACTATGGGCTGACTGAACAAGTTGATCAAGTTGACAGCCCGACTACAGTAATGTGTAATGATTTTAATGTCATAATGGGGAGACATTCATCTGCAACTCCTTACGATATGTACCGAGGTGGGTCCACGAACAATCCGTATGGCAACACCGCGTCCAGTTCAAGGGGAAGGCATTCATCTGCAAATTTCTTTGACCATGATGACATCGACGCAACCATTTGTGCAGTTTCCATTTGACACGATGGCTTCAAGCTCTAGGGGGAGGCATTCGACTACGAGATTTTTCGATCTCAATATTGATATGCCTTCCAGTTAAAGGGGAAGGCGTGCAAGTAGTAGGTTCTTCAACCTAAATATGGAGAGCATGGAGGAACTATCATCTCCACCAGAAGAATCGCTTCGTGAGCCTGGACTATTCATTCACCCAGAATCACCGCAATTCAACTCCGATGATGATGAAGTTCTAGGAAATGTGACACAAACTGACCCTCCTGCACACATGTATGAAGCTGATTATGGTGCAATGTACGGGCCAGAATTTGTGAATATGCCTCATCTCGGTGACTATAGATATTACTTATCAATAAATAATGGTGAGTTATATTTAGGCATGGAGTTTTCAAGCAAAGAAGAAGCGGTGATGGCTATAAAAAATTACAATATCCGTAATTCTGTTCAGTCCAGAGTCAATCGATCGATGACCGAAAAATATGTATGCTATTGTGCCCGACGTGAAAACAGATGCAATTGGATGGTTCACGTATCGAAAATGAAGAAAAAACAACATATGGGAACTAACAGTATACAACGGTCCTCACACATGTTGTGCTGGAGGGGTCAACCAAGATTATCCTAACTTGGACTCTTAAATGATATGACAAGCCATCATGCCCATGGTAAAAACAAGCTCTCATATAGCTGTTGCAGTGTTGATTTCAGCTATACAATCGCAGTATGGGTACACTGTCTCCTATAAAAAAGCTTGGTTGGCAAAAGAAAATGTCATTGTCAAACTTCATGGCGAATGGGATGCATCTTACAACGAACTTTCAGGTTGATTTAGGCTAGTGCGGACGTTGAATCCTATGATAATTGTGGACTTCAAAACCTCCTATGCATACCATAATGATCGATTTCTTCGCGATCGAAGCCAATTCTACCGGGTTTTTTGGAGTTACCCACAGTGCGTTAATGCTGCCAAATACTGCAAGTCTGTGGTCCAGATCGACGGGACTTTCTTGTATGGAAAATAAAAGCAAGTTTTATTATTGGCAGTTGTCCAAGATGACAATCGCAACATTCTTCCAGTTGTTTTTGCTCTTGTCGAAGGAGAAGGTACAGATTCTTGGGCTTTTTTCCTACGAAATTTACGTGCACATGTTATCACGAGGGAAAACATCTGTGTCATTTCAGATCGCGGAGCTGGGATCAAAGCAGCAATGGAGTCTTTGGGTCAAATGTAGCAACCACCCTTTGTCCAACATAGGTATTGTCTCCGACATATTGTTGCGAACTATCATGAAAGGTACAAGAAGAATGATGAGCGTCAATTAATTGTGCGCATGGGTAAGTGAAACTGATGTAGTTTGTTTTCTTTCAATCGTTTTAATTTTGCAAAGAAAGCAAGTTAGTAAGTTATACATTTTTTGATCAGGTTACGAACTACTTCCTCGAACGTTTGAATCAATGCTTCAAGATTTACGGGCGAAGAACGAGGAAGGATACGATTACATCAGCCTCATCAATAAAGAAATGTGGATGAACGCATATGATGGTGGATATCGATATGGACACATGACAACCAACTTGGCTGAGGCAATCAATTCAACCTTAAAGGGTGCACGTCACTTACCTGTAGCGGCTTTGGTAAAAACTACATATTTTTGTTTGGGGTGCTTTTTGTGAAGCTCGGGGGACAAGCTCAAACCTGGATGCAAGGCGGTCATGTCTATCACCCTAGATTAGTTGCAGATCTATAGAAAAAAATTGTTGCATCAAATGGAATGTCTATAACAAGATTCTCTAGAAGGCATGAAATGTTTCATGTCACAGAGTTACCTTGACCTCTTCAAGGGATTGAAGCTGTGTCGTTAAGAGTAAATCTAAGGGACAGAACGTACGACTGTGAGTTTTTTCAAGCTCTGAAGTATCCATGCTCTCATGTGATAGCAGCTTGCTCGCATACACGTCAATACTATAACTATTTTGTGGATCCCGTATACCTACTATCTGAAGTTTTTAAGGTATACGAATTTGAGTTTCCCCCATAGGTAATGACAAAGACCCTGATGAGGTTCAAGATTGGCTTTCGATTGTACCAAATCCGAGTTTATTGAGGGAGCGTGGTCGTCCAAAATCCAATCGAATTCATTGTGATATGGATATTCGAGAAAGATCTAGACAAGACAAAAGATGTGGGCATTGTAGAAACCCAGGACACACTAGAAAAACATGTCCACTTCTGTTGTCATCAAGTAAAATTGATGAGGAAATGATGTATTTGTTTATCAAATAATAATTCTTGTACTTTAATTTGCATTTACTTCAAGTTAATGTCATTCATAATCGCTGATAAAGATTAAAAAGCGAACACAATCATTAAATTTTATCAAATTAATAACAATTTGGTATTTAAATATAATTTTAAATACAAAAAACTTACAATAAGAATTAAATGGTAAATGATAATCAAATTACAATAACTTATATTAAATGGTAATAAACAAAATTAACTGAAATACATTAAAAAGTCCAACAAATTTAACAAAAAAAGTAAGTATTAGAAATAATAAAAAATTACAATTTAAAAAAATAAAGTAAATACAAATATAATAAAAAATATCTATCGATGCCTGTAACGCGAATGTGTTCCGTAGGGCGGTAGCTGTCAGTCTCGAGGAGGATTTCTTCGTATCACTGGTTCTGACTCCTCACTGTCATCATCATCACCATCGTCGTCGTCGTCGTCATCGTCGTCAACCTGAGCAGGTACACTAGGTTGATGAGGAGATGATGACGATGAAGCACCTCCATAGAATAAGGACCCTGGAGGTGTATGACTGAATATCCCACCGGCCTACGAAAACTGGGAAAACTCATAAAACTCAGACATCGCTGAGTGTGAAAACTGTACAGGAGGTGTCTGTGCTGCGGTCATGGATGATGAGGCTGAACCCGCCAGATATCCAGTATATGAACCCCAAGTCGTATCTGCAAACATAGACCCATAATAGCCTCCAAGAGGGGTCATCTGTGACGGTGGCGGTGGTGGGGTCATAAAACCAGGTGAAGGCAGCGGCGGCGACATCTGGTAATGGAAAGGTGGCGGCATCATAAATGGCTACGGTGGTTGCTCTTCGTCCACGAATCGTGGGAAGATGGTGTTGTGTCGGTGAACGTCTCTGTCGACGTCGCGGAAATGTCTGTTCTCGTGCATCCTCGGGAAGTAGAAACGGTTTCCCGTTACTGTTGAACCACTCATAATAACCGTCAGCAACCATCAAGAGGTTATCAAAAATGGGCTCTCTACGAGGAAGGCGTCGATATCGATCCTCCCACAACACGACCCACTCATGATGTCTCACCAGCCAATTTGTATCTGTCTTGCCGCGTCTATCTAAGCTATGCAACTCGTCCATATTACGAGGTGCTTCCGGAATTGGTTGAAAACAACCAAACTGCCAGAGCACGCGATCAGTAGAGTGCCACTCGACGGTCGCATAACAGATCAGAGGGACCATCGCCATCCAAACATCTGATGGGCCCCTCAACTCAGGTGGGATCACCGCCCTCACATCATCAGTACAATATGGCACCCATTCAAACTAAAACAAATATTATCAAAATAAATAATCTAATTATATAACTATAATCTAAAATCGATTTTTAAACTTTAAAATTCATACATGTGTGCCAGTCTTCTGATCGATTAGCACCCTAATTGTTTTCTAAATCATCAGGTAGCTCTTGATGATTTTTCCTATCAGTAGACCACCTATTCAAGGAAAAATATTATTATACACTGCATAAAATTATTAATATAAAAAATCAGTTTTATAATTACCTTAGAAGTAGTGGAAATACGAATGGGTTCTTCACAACGGGACATAAAAGGGGCAATCGATACCATGCCCAAGACTGCAGCAGCAGGAGACATCCGCCGATAGCATTACGCCTGTAGCCAGTGGCTCCACACATCTCCCTATACAGCAAAGCCAAAACTGTCGAGCCCCAACTGAATGATCCGGCCAGACGAAAGTCGCTAAGATGTCGCAACCACATGCAGTGAACTAGGTTGCGCGATTTTTCCGACATCAGCAACCCTCCTATCAACTGCAATATGAATGCCCGTGCATACATCTTAACTTCATCCTCAGAGGCGTCTACGCTCAATTTCCGAAAATTGGCATCTAACCAATTTAACGGTATCATACCTCCGATAAAACTTTCCGGGACACGTCCTAGATTATCCCGGCACAAAGTAGTCCAGGAATCCTACGAGATCCCTGATATCACATCTCCATCCACTGGAAGCCCTAGGTGCATAGCAACATCCTCAAGTGTAATCGTGCACTCTCCGCACGGAAGATGGAATATGTGGGTCTCCGGCCTCCACCGCTCTACTAAGGCAGAAATAAGGTCTGGTTCTATCTTACAGTGACCCTGATATCTACCTATATAACCAAATCCAGCCTCTACAAAATACGGCAAGACACGGCTAGGTATCACTAACTTAAGATTCCTAATAAAATGATCTAATACACGGTCCTTCTTCTAAAATTAAATAATTACACAAATTAATTCTTAATCTAATAATCATGCATTAAATAAATCAACATATTACAAATAATTTAAATTAAATTAAAACGTTAAAATGTTACCGTATCAGCAAAGTGTCGAGATATATGATTTTCATCCATGCGAAGTAGACTGCCTTCCATTATATATCTACAAAAAAATTATATTAGTAAAATATTAAATAAAGTAAAATGCTTAAATAGATTAAATACATAATATTAAAAATATACCTTAAACATAGAGACAATTTGAGACAATTTGAGAGAATATGTGTGATGAAAGTAATAAAGGAGGGGGTATTTATAGGGAAGATCGGGGGGTAATTAAAGGTATAGCGCCCCCTGTACCGCGTTATACCCCACGTGTCAGATAAATAGATATAGCGTGGATCAGGGGCCGCGCTATACCCATGTGTAAGCCATGTCAGCGTATAGCGCGGTACAGGGGGCGCGCTATATCCCACGTGGCGCCAAATCAGCATATAGCGTGGGGCAGGGAGCGCGCTTTACTGCTACAGGTGTTAGATCGGTAAATATAATCTGACCGGTGTTAGATCGGTAAATATACCGGTCACCGGTGATTTTTCGGCAAAAACGCCCTGGAGTTGCTATTCCTGCTCGTGCATAAGGCTCTTGAAATTCAAGATGAACTTCTATTTTTTATTTTGCTTTAAGATATGGCTGCTTGAATTTTGAGTACTTGGATATTGTAGGATGTTTCTTTTCTTGTTGTTTGAAGATTTATTGCATTCAACATTCAGAAGCTCCGAGTGGTTGGGAATACTAGTTGGAAAATTGGAATCTCATAATTTGTGTTCAGTTGCATACGGTTATCCAAAGTAAACATCTTTCACAAAACAAAGCAGTCACAGAATTTGTTAATTGTTGTTCTACTTAAAATCTGTCTTGATAAACCAAGCAAGTGTGGATGGATGATGATGGACAATAGATCTAAGAGTGAAGATCTTGTTTCTTATAGCATGTATTTCTATAAGTAATATGATGTGCAAGTATTATACGAAATTATCATTTCTAAATGTTGTGTAGGCATCAAAGAGCATGGGACGGGAATTTATTGGTATTGAAAATGCTTTAGAAAGAGTGTTGTCTTGTGGTATATAACACGCAAAAGCAGGTTAGATAGATAAGTTGTTCATGGACGGTTAACCATACTATTTGGTTTAAACGGCCGGTTAATTATTATAACGGTTACGAGTTTTTTTTAACCTTAACTAACTCTTAATAAATGGTTAATTGTTAATGATTAATCATTAACAGTACGATTTCAGGTTAATCGTAGGTTAACATATTATAATTATTTTTCAAAAATAACCCTATAATCATTTTAAAGTTTCATAATTCATATTATAAAAAATTGTAGTACTTAACACATACACCAGTGTAAATATGTATATCTCTTAATATCTCGATATCTAACAATAAACACATAATATAATTTGTGTAAGTATGATTTTGTTTTTTTTAAAGAAAAAAAATAAAAATATATATATTAAGTTATTTGTGTACTAAATTTATTAAAAATATATAACGTAGAAATAATAGAAAATTATATTTTCTATAAATATTTTACTAATAGTTCAATACACCATTAAAGTTTTAAAGATAAATCTTTAACAAAAATAATTTTTTGTGGAGGGACTAGTTTTGCTTGAGAGTAGAGTAAGTGAAATTGTGAAATTGAAGACTGCCCGATATATTTTAGGATTAGAGCTAAAATTTACTTCTAATTCTATTAGTATTTTTTTGAAAAAATATAATTATAAATTTAATTTATTAAATTCATATTCGTAATATTAACCGTAAACCATTATTTTTAACAGTTTGATTAACTAATACCGTTTAGCATTAACAGTCCAATCAATTAACCTGTTAAATGTAACGGTTATATCGGTTAATAGTTATAGTTAATGGTTACAGATTTTTTTTAACACCCCTATATAGATGTGAATCTTGACCCTAATAAATTCAAGCTAGCATCGACTCTGGCCCAAGCCAACTCGGTTGCCTCTCTCTCCATTATCCAACAAACTGTGTGGCAGAATTGGATCCAAAAAATGAAACAAACAAGAACAACTCTATCCATCTGATCAGAAATGCAAGCTTTCCTAGGTTCAATTTCAAGGCTCAATTGCGTTGTGCTCTTCTTCTTCTTCAAATGAAGTATCCACGACCAGACTTCTAAACTGCAAAGGAACAAGACGCTGCTTCCGTTTATATGTATGAATTGCAGTATAAAGAAGAGGAGGAAAACATAGTAAAAAGCCAAAAAGGGTAAAATTGAGATTCTAAAAATTAATTATATATTTCAGTTTCCTTCTCTCCCGAAGCAAAGAGCTTTCCCTAGCCTCTAAAAAAAATTAATATCCCCTTGACTTACCTAGCTTTCCTTTCATTTGACTCAATCCAAACACACTGTTAAGGCTAATATGGCTTCAAAACTTGTGATTTTCAGCATCCATGTAATTTCTGGGCAATCCTGATGCATCCTGCCATGGGACAGTCTGTCTTGATCGCACTGGAGGCAATGTGTGATCTACTTGCAGCATATCCCTCCTGCAACAAAAACCAACACTGTCTTGTCACTTCATTGACGGTTTTAAGCAACGATAAAGACATACTCGTGTTCCTAGAACCACTCAGTATTGTCCTACCTGAAGGAAATCACCTTCTGATACAGATTCATCAAATAATTTAACAGCTGGGGAATATTGAATCATGTAAAGCAAATGGAAATCAGCTACCCATTCTACTAAACATTCTTGCTGGTCATTCTAAACAGTAAGTCAAGCTAGGTCTCATGATAATCTTATATCTATAAGAGCAAAACACATCCTTTTCTACCAATTGCAGTTCAAATGCTAGTGACTAAAGAGAACAATACAATTAGAGTACCTTGTGAAGGGTGTTCATGATAGAACTTATGGAAGGAGTATCGGTTTTTGCACGACTTGCCACCTGATAAAGTTGAAGTGAATATCATTACCAAACATCAGGCAATTGAAGTATAAGAGCATATATTTTTTGGGGGAAAACCATGGGAAGGGACCTCATCGAGTTTGATATATCCAAATGGTAATCTGGGGTCACTTTCTTCCAACATCCGTTTCAGCAGCTTTTCTAGACCAGTCCCTGCACCTTTGCCCACCCATCCCCACTGCTCATCCAAGTTTAACATTTCCATGATATAATTTCCACTATGAAGAGGTCCTGTCCATAAAGGGCCTGACACAACAAGTGATGCAGCATCCTACAAAAGTTGACAGCAAAATTTAGCATACATCTGCTTAAGTAGTTACAGAAGTGAGCATTTTTTGACATTGCAAAGAGAGAGAGAGAGAGAGAGAGCACAAAACCACAATTAACTGCACGAACGTCATTAAAGGAAATCATACTTGTATCGTGTTACTGCAAGGACAACTGATTTGACCAAGTTTACCCCATGAAAATGCTTGCGAATTTCCACAGCGATTACAGTAGCAGATGAAACCATAATCCCTATCATTAACATAAAAACATCAGATAAGTACTAAAAGAAGACTAAAAATATACAGATATTAATGCACCATCATCATTACATCACCTCTTCTCCGGTAGCTTCCCTCGATTCATTTGGAGCAAGACTCTGAAAACAGGTCCATGGCAAGAGTAGTATGAAAAAAGTGGGGTAACACGGTAGCCGAGCACAGAAGCCTCCCTCACAGCCCCACCTATTAGGATTCGCAAACCAAGCTCGTTTGCATATGGCATTGGACGAACATATGCCCCAAATGCTTCTAATGAACTATGCATACCCATAAACAGCAATAATTATCCCATCACAGGGAATTAAAACAAAAGTATACAATGTCACAACTACCTACAGTTCCCAATCCGATTCATGAGGAAGCATATAAGGGTTCAAAAGACTATCATACAGATATGTTACATAGAAAAAAGAAAAATTCACAAGTGAATGAACATATTAGAACCCACAATGCATTAATCAAAGGAAATGCTAACAGAACCTACAGCACCATCTAACAAACAATGGAGGTTTAAAAAAGAAAACTCACTGAAAAGGGCGGTGACCCCCTGATGAGAAACCGTCAGTGGAAGTAACGTAAACCAATCCATCGAGTTTCAAACTACTAAAAGCAGCCCTTAAGAAGAAAGAAGAATCACTCCCAAACGAATCCAAGTCGATATAATCAAAATAATCCCTTTGCAAGTAACAATCCGTTAAAATCCGAGTGGCTTCGTTATGCGTTACTACCCATCTCCTTTGTTCACCTTCAAACCTCTCAACTTGTCCTAAATTATTCAGAATAACTCTCCTGTGGCTCTCGTTTGCGTCATTGGCCAACACGAAATCGGCTTTCGATTGGATAAGGTAGCGAAGGGAACGGATCCCGCACCCGCACATTGCATCGAGGACTCTTAATTGTCCTTTGGATTGCTTGTAGAGTGCTGCTGAAAGGACCCCGAGGTCTCGGCCGGTGGCGCTTTCGAGGCGGAAAAAGGTGTCGCTGGTGTCGCAAAGGATACCCCTTTCGGTTATTTGATTGGATTTGCAGTATGTCCGAGACTTGAAGTTTGAGAATTGAGGTGAAATTGAGGTTTTCCTGGGTATGAAGGGAGAAGCGAATAGGGTTTTAGGATTGAGAACGAACATGGCGGGAATATGTTAGGCATCAAATGGGACTTGGCCATGTTTTCCTCAACCACATATATATATATACTTGTTAACAATTGAAATTATCGAGTGATAACCAATGGGATTTAAAATAGATTCTAGTCAAAATTGTTTGGATCTGGGATGGTTATGAAGTGAAATCGATTCAAGTCTGAATTAGTGTTGACATTAACCTGAGTTGGACATGAAAATTTACGACTAATCCAAATTGAGCATGATAATATGATAATTGAACTCGACTTGCATCCGACTTGATATGAATCTGAACCCAAGATTAACCCGGTAAATAACTGATATTACCAGACCTGTTATCAACCTGATCTATTATAAACTTGATCTGTAATTGACTAAACCTGTAAATGATCCGACCTGTTATTAAATTGAACTAATATTTACCTGAATTGTAAGTTATAATTGATGAAATTAAGAAATTATGAATTTCTAATATTATAATGTGACATAATATATCTTCATAATTTAGAGTGTATTATTATTAACTATGATAATTAAATTAATATATTTAATTTTTATGTTTATAAATTGTAGCTTATAAATATGTTAAAAAAATTATTAAATTAATAATTTGGAATTGATAAAGTTAATAATAAATGTAAAATAAATTAGTAATTATGATCATTATATTACTAAATTGTTGTTAGGATTATGAAGAGGTTCAAAATGACAACTGAAAAAGTGCAAATGGGTTAAATGGCAATAATTTTGATAAGAGAGTAATGAGAGTAAAAGATATAAAGATAAGGCACAATGATTTAAAGTTGTTCGACTTATCAACTAAGTCTGCATCCACTACTTTAGCTCCTCATTAAGGATTTTCTAACAAATTAACTAATTTGTTCTTTCCTTTTCAAGGACAAAGAGATAACATTTACAACTTCCTTATCTAGATAGAACCAAAAACTCTTTTACAAGGAAAAAGAATGTAAATAAGAAAACCTCTAAAAAAGAAGGTGTTTACAAATTAAAAGGTCACAAGAACAAAATATTTACAAGAGAATTGGAATAAAGAGTGAAAAATTCTTCTCTTGTGTTTGATTGCTTAGATAGGTGTTCTAGCCCTTCTTCAAGTGTCCTCAACTTGTATTTATGTGTTGGAATGTTGTTGTAGTCGTTTCTAGCTGTTGGAGTTGGTTTGGAGCCGTTGGGATCAATTTTCGTGCAAAATAAAGTTGCACAGATCAAGAGGTATCGATACTCCTAAAGGGAAGTATCGGTATCAATACTATGGAAAAGGTATTGATACTACTATACAGAGTTGTATCAGTACCCCTTTGGGTATTGGTACCATTTTTACATTCTGGAATTTGAGCAATGCTGGTAGTATCGGTACTACCTAGTGAGTATCGATACTTCCCTTACCTTTGGTATCGGTACCATATGAACAATATTGGTACTTGTTCAATTGGTATCGATACTATAAGAATATCGGTACTACTTGTTCAGAAAAACGTTTTGTGTTCAATTCCAAGTTTTAAGGACTTTAAATTATTTTTGAAAACTTTGAACAAATTCAATTCAAGTCCAAAAACATTTTTCCTTAAATTGTTATATCAAAATATAGTTCAACAATCTCCCCCTTTTTGATATAATAAAACATTTGAAAATTTGTTTTTGGCAATACTCCCCCTTAATAAAATGTTTAATGAAAAAGATACCAATTGTTGGAAAATATGTGAAAATGTTAGCTCCCTTTTTCATTAAGAAATTGAATTTTTCAAACCCATACTTCTCCCCTTTTTGTTAGATCAAAAAGAATTCAACTTTAAAGTTCAAAAATAACATTGGAGAGTAAGTGGTAATTTTTACATTTAAAACCATTTGAAAAAATCAAAGCTCCCCCTCAAAAAGTGCATTCCAAACAAAATTAGTTTTAAAATCTTGACACTTAAAAAAAAATTGAAGTTCAACGAAGAGTAACAAAAATGTTAGTAACACTTGAAATTCAATATATATATATATATGTCTAAAATACTTTATGCAATACCAATAATTGAAATTAAGTACATATGCATAAAGTTTTAAAAAATATTATGCATTTGAAGAATTTGATATCAATTGTTAGAGATATATCTCTAACATTTAAAACACATGCATAAACATTTAAATTTAGGTCAAAAATTTAAAATTTGTAAAATAAAGCATTTGAAAATTTGATATCAATTGTTAGAGAGACATAATTTGCATTGAAAATCAATTTTGACCAAAATTCATTATGATAAACTAAAAACTATGAAAAATCATTAAAAATTTCAATGTTCATCATAAAACTTTTTCAACATACATGAGATGGAAACATCAAATCATTTGAAAATTAAAACTCATGCATGCTTAAAACAAAATGAGCAACCAAATAACCAAAATAAAAAGCATTAAGTTTAGAGGTTACCCATTCTTTTTCATGTGTGGCTAGAGCATTTCAATTTCTTCATTTTCATCACCATTGCTCCCATACACCTACAAGATACATTTATTTAGATTTTGGTATCCAAATTTCTTTGGATCCTTGGATGTTAGTTTCAATGCCCCTTGTTCCCTTAGGAACCCATACTTGTCTAATTTTAAAAGATTTTTCTTTTCTTTAGGGGACAAGTATGTTCCAAATGACCATAAAAATGACAATTTGAGCATTTTTCCATTTTCAAACATAATGAGTTGCTTTGAGAAATTAATTCTTTTTCTAGATCATTGATTTTAATTTTTGAAAGCTCTAAATCATTTTCAAAATTTCATTTTGATTTTCAAAATCAACTTTGGCTTTCAAAATCAAATCATTTTCAACTTTAAATTTTGAAATTAATTTCTTATATTTGGAATTCATGTTCTCAAATTCAAAATACAACTCATTGTAAGCATCTTGTAACTCATCAAAAGAATGTGAATTTAAATCATTTGAGTTAGAATATACTTTGTAATATTCTTCAATGGCCATGAGGCATAGGTTGGCTACTTCATCTTCATCACTGGAGTCATCGTCATCACTCCAAGCTACCACAAATGCCTTTTTCTTTGATGATCCCCTTCTTCTTTAGGAGAGGGTATTCATACTTCACATGCCCATTTTTTTTACAATTGAATCACACCGGGGGACCTTTCTTCTTGGTGATTCATGCTTCATTCCTTGGAATACATGAATCTCTTGAACTTTTTGAAGATTTTAGCCATCTCTTCTTCTTCATCATCGTCTTCATCCACATTTTCACTTGAATCTCCATAGCTCTCATTGGTGGACTTGAAGGCAATGCCTACCTCCTTCTTCTTCTTGTTTTTTTTCTCTCCATCTTCTTTCTCTTCCTTCACCATCAACTCATGAGTGAGAAGAGAACCAATTAGCTCATCGAGAGTGAGAGACTTTAGGTCTCTAGCTTTGATAATCGCTGCCTTCTTCGATTGCCAAGACTTTGGAAGAGAGTAGATCATCTTCCTTACAAGCTTCTTATTGGAGATTACTTCTCCAAATCCCTTGAGACCATTTACGATCATGAAAAAATCTATCCGTCATAGCTTTGATGTCTTCATCGGGTTTCACCTTGAAATTCTTGTAGCCATTGTTGAGAAGACTTATCTTGGTTTTCCTCACTTAATCGATTCCTTCATGAGTGACTTGAAGCTTATCCCGTATCTCCTTGGCATTGGAACAAGAGAAGACTCTTCCGTATTCATACGGGCCTAATGCACAAAAGAGAATGTGCATAGCCTTAACATTGAGTTGGAACTTCTTCTTCTCTCTATCACTCCAATCGTCCATCTCGCTGGTTGGAATGGTGTAGCCTTTCATGATAGAGTTCCAAGCTCCTAGAACATTGGATTGAATGAAGAGCATCATCATATTCTTTCAATAGGCATAATTAGCTTTATTGAAGTAGGGTGTCTTGTTGACCGGTTGTGAATCTTCAATATGGTAGGCACCGGAGGTTGAAGTCATTTCTTTGTCAGTTGCATCAGGAATTCGTAGAGCTTCTTCGAGGATCGTCTCAAGGTGGTTAAACCTTTTAATGAGTCAAGCTCTGATACCAATTGTTAGGATTATGAAGAGGTTCAAAATGACAACCGAAAAAGTGCAAAGGGGTTAATTGGCGATAATTTTGATAAAGGAGTAAAGAGAGAAAAAGATATAAAGATAAGGCACAATGATTTAATGTGGTTCAACTTATCAACCAAGTCTACATCCACTAAGAATTTTCTAATAAATTCACTAATTTGTTCTTTCTTTTTCAATGACAAAGAGATAACCTTTACAACTCCCTATCTTTTCAATTGGCTAAGATAGAACCAAGAACCCTTTTTACAAGGAAAAATAATGTAAAAAAGAAAACCTCTAAAATGAAGGTGTTTATAAATTAAAAGCTCACAAAACAAAATATTTACAAGAGAATTGAAATAAAGAGTGAAAAGCTCTTCTCTTGTGTTTGATTGCTTGAATAGGTGTTCTAACCCTTCTTCAAGTGTCCTCAACTTGTATTTATGTGTTGGAATATTGTTGTGGTCGTTTCTAGCCGTTGGAGGTACTCCTAAAGGGAGTATCGGTACTACCTTTGTTATATTTAAAATCAACTAGCTCTTACAAGCCGTTGGGGCCTTATGGTATCGATACTATGTAAATGGTATCGGTACTACTATACAGAGTAGTATCGGTACCCCTTTGGGTATCAGTACCATTTTTGTATTCTGGAATTTGAGCAATACTAGTAGTATCGATACTACCTAGTGAGTATCGATACTTCCCTTAACTTTGGTATCAGTATCATATAAATGCTATCGGTACTTGTTCAATTGGTATCGATACTGTAAGAACATTATCGATACTACTTGTTCAGAAAAATGTTTTGTGCTCAATTCCAAGTTTTAAGGACTTTGAATTATTTTTGAAAACTTTAAAAAACTTTGAAGAAATTCAATTCAAGTCCAAAAACATTTTGCCTTAAATTGTTATATCAAAATATATTTCAACAATTGTCTTTCTATATTTATTATGATCATAATATTAAAAAACTTAATTATAACTATTAAATTAATTT